GTACTATGAATACATTAATGGATAGCAAGTCTTAATTTTGGCATCAATTTAGTTACTGAAGTAGGTGTAAAAATATTGAAGAAAATGAAAATATGTGGAATGCAAAGGATTTGAAGTGTGCATAGTGTTGTATTTTGAGCAATATTTATCTTGAAGATTTCATTTTCAATTGCTCTTCTGTATATAAAATTATTTTAAAATGCTCTAAGATAACATTATTAAAAAGAATCTGTCATTGGAAAGCAATAAATTTCTCATTAATTTGTATGTTTTGAAAGTTTGTTTTTGACAATACTCTAAGCAAGACCCTATAAAATACTTTAAATATTTATTTACCAGACTTTTTTTATCCATAGGAAGAATACACATAGAGTTAAAAAATTATAAACATAAGAAGACCTAGGTATCGGGCGCCTGGGTGGCTCAGTTGGTTAAGCGACTGCCTTCGACTCGGGTCATGATCCTGGAGTCCCGGGATCGAGTCCCGCATCGGGCTCCCTGCTCAGCAGGGAGTCTGCTTTTCCCTCTGACCCTCTTCCCTCTCATGCTATCTCTCATTCTCTCTCTCTCTCAAATAAATAAATAAAATCTTTAAAAAAAAAAGAAGACCTAGGTATCATCCGACCATGAATACAGCATGTTACCTTCACATAATTACAATACTTTCCTGGGCCTCATTTCTTTATCTGACTAAACTGGTTTATCTTCCCTCTGGTGAGGTTGAAGCTCCACTTTTGTGATTACTCATCATCCATTTCCAAATATACAAACATTTTATGAACAAAACTTAGAGCACAAAGTGGCTTAGAGAAGGAAAATACAAAACTCTGCTTGCAGTTACTCCTATTAAATATATTTTTCAAAGCTCATTTGGGAAGGACATTAGATTAAAATATAACTATAGATAAAAGTTAAAGTTAATAGTGATAATTCAAAAACTGAGATGACTTTTAGAGTTTTAAATTATGCCCATATGCAAATCTGACAACCTATATTTTTAGTACATCATTAAAATCTAGAGATGTACTTTTTCATTTATTCCTATATGTTTATCTTTCTTCAGCAAATTTTAAAATTTATTCATTGCAAAAACATTTACCTAAATTTCTCTAGTTGGTTCAATATATTTTTTAAATGTTCTCTTTGGCATAGATCAACATAGAACTATTTTTCTCTCATTTGTAAACTCATAAATAAGAAGAAATTTCCTTTTTATTGGGAAACTATGCTAATATATTTATGATAGTCATTAAATTAACAAACACATTTAAATTTTTGCCAAGTAGTAACTTAACTGATAAAATATAGTTTAGTAAACAGTAGCCTTCCATGACATGATATCCTCAGTTATTTGGATCAAATTTTCATTGTTCTTAATGTTAGAAAATGCATCTGCAAACGTAATTAGCTATACAGTAGGTGGATAATCAGTCTCCAGTCAGTATGAATAAGACCCTGTTTATTTGTAGCATATTTCTACAATTATAATCATGAAATATAAATCTGGAGCAATTGATGTAGTAACTGAAATATCCTTAAGTTTGCTCTCCTTCTGTGTCAGCCTGTAAGAGTGTTCTGCAGGATGCTAGTATTCCTATAGATGCTTCTTGGAAAATAAGGTTCTATAAACAAATGTTTGAGAATTTTGGATTCGACAAAGAGAAGCAAATTGTGTTACTTTTGTTCCAGGGTCAGTCGGCCAGAGGAGTCTTAATTGGAGTACTAAGCTCATTTTTTGTATGATAGCTCATGGGACTAGAGATACGGCACAGGATATATTTTGGGAAATGCAGTTTGTTTAAAAACACTTTACATAAAATGAAATAAAACAAAATAAAAATTGTAGCCCACCTGGCCTCTGCTACTCAGAGGAAGATGGGGGCTGCTGGCTCAGATGCTTTTCTGAAGAGAAAAGACAGCACTGTCCCCAGCTTCTCATAAGTTTGCTATTGCAGCACTATTCCTTTATTCTTTAAAAGTGTAAAGGGGGAATCCAAATTGAAGCAAAAAAATAAAAAGAAGATTAAAGATTTATTTTCTAAATACACTAGTAGAAATAAAATTGTAGTTTTAATGTAAGGTTTATTATATGATGGACTTGAAAAACATCTAGTTGCAAATCAGAATAATTGCCCTTCTCTTATGAAGTCAATCTGGAGGGTGAAGTGTGGAGATTGTTTTTCTTCTATGTGAATTACTTGTTTCCTTTAAAGAAAAAAAAATCAACGTAAGGAAATCCCTAAAAGTTTCAATACAGATGTCTTCAAAAGGGTTATTGCTGCCAAGTTTTTTTTTTCCCAATGTCACATAATCTTTGTATAATTTATAAATGATAACAAAGCAACCAGGCCACATTCATAAAAACCCAGTGACACATAATTTAGTTGAATCTGAGGATTAGAATTAATTGTCTCTCTTTGTTCCAAGTTCTAAATCTTAGTAAATGATTCACTGCATGTCATTACAGCTTAATATTTGCATGAAATCACAGTTTAGCTGGCATAATTTAACAGCAATTAAAAAGCTATTTAATCATCATGCAAATTGGTATGAGGACCCTTGAGTAAGAAGGGTGTCTGTCTTTTTTTTTAAGTATCTCCAGGCAGACAGTTATATAGTTGCAGACACCCATAACATAATTGATAACATTCTTCCTATTCATGAAAATATAAGTGAATAATAATTCATGTTTTCCTTTATAAATAAGAGAAAAGAGCGACAATATGAATATGTCATTCTGTGGGAAGACCTTATTATGATAATGATAATGTATATCTTTATCTCCCAGGCATAAGTCTGGGTTGGAGGTAAAAAGCTACACATGTCCCTGTGCTCTAACTTATAATGCCTTCCATCTTTTCCCTTCTGAAGAAAGATGCTTCTGTAACTCTCTGAAACATGAAATGGCATAAAGCAAAGTATGCAGAAACCTGTTAGAAAAGCTAACCATCCCATTTCTAGGTCAGGCTTTAGGTAATATACATACAGATGACTGAGGCCCCTACCCATCAAGTTGCTGTTACCAGGATCCAGCAAAAAGAAAAAGGAAAATAGGGGCGCCTGGGTGGCTCAGTTGGTTAAGCGACTGCCTTTGGCTCAGGTCATGATCCTGGAGTCCCGGGATCGAGTCCCGCATCGGGCTCCCTGCTCAGCAGGGAGTCTGCTTCTCCCTCTGACTCTCTTCCCTCTCGTGCTCTCTCTCAAATAAATAAATAAAATCTTTAAAAAAAAAAGGAAAATATAAAATAACAGTTCTTAATATATCAAACCCAATACATAGTCATGTAAATTTATGAGTAAGGTATGCTACTCTAACACTGTATAACAGATCTTACTAATGAGTCCCCTCTACTATTCCCTAAAGCCAGAATGTTCTTTTTAAAACACATTACCTTCATATATAAAATCTCTAAGCCTATTCCTGTTGTACATTGAAAAATATCCAGAGTCATTACAATGAGCCTAGGAGTCTTGCACTTTCCCACCCCTTCCTTTTCCTTAAAACTCACTTCTTACTTTTTCCTTTGGCATTCTAGCCACAGTGATTATCTGCCAGTTCCTTGACTACTTTAAGATCTTTCTTGACTAAAGAGCCTTCTACCCTTAATACTCTTTTCACTCCTCTGACCTCCTCTTCCTCACCACCTCCATGAGGCTTTCTCAGAGTGTTTCTCAGATGGGTCCTCCTGATAATGGTTTTTTTTTTTAATTTTATTTATATATTTATTTATTTTTTATTTATTTTGAGAGAGAGAAAGAGCACGTGAGTGGGGGCAGGAGCAGGGGGGAGAGGAACAAGCAGACTCCACACTGAAAGTGGAGCCCGATGTGGGGCTCAATCCCATGACCCTGAGATCATGACCTGAGCTGAAGCCAAGAGTCAGACTCAACTGACTAAGCCACCCAGGTGCCCCTGGTCCTCCTGTTAATGTTTATTTCATCTCCTTTCCTTTTGATTTTTGCACTACTACTTATTATAATTTGAATTTTATTCTTCTATTTAATGTGTTTATTTGTCTGCCATTCAACTTAAATGTATATAACAAAGTAAGAATTTGTCTGTTACATTCACACTGTAAGTCCAAGATCTAGCAGGTTATCTGGCACACATAGTCGTCACTTAAAAAAAATATTTATTTCATGAGTGAATGACTATATCTTGAGATCTCTAAAGACCCTATACCAAAACTGAATTTCTCTCTATGGAAAGAATGTTGAAAATAATTCTATCCCATCTTCTAAGCAAATTTTCTTGATAGCAGAAATTTAATGAATTGTTTTAGAGTTATTAAAACTAATTGTTCTAAAATACGACAGGAATGTTATTTTATTTTATTTATGCAATCAATCTATCAAAAGCATAGTCTCTTACAGAAAGGATTCTGTATTATTTCAGACATAGTGTGGTGCTGACACCTAGTAGACCTTCAGTTAATGCTTATGCAAGGAATGATACAAACCTTGGGTTTGAAGTACTCACATAAGTATAAAAGATTATTGACACAATTTTAAGGAAAGACTGGAGTAGTTAAAGGATATTAAGTACTCTATACAGTGTGATCCATATGGGAAAAATATTAAGAAACATATTGTGTTTTTGTATATGTATGTTAGTATTTTTTTCAAATTTTGAAAATGGTGATATAATTATTAAAATGTAATTAAAACCATCACATAATTTAAAACAATGTTTGCTTATGATATATTCCAGTAAGCAAATTTTCAAAGTATAATTACTATATCTTTTGGAGATTTTTTACTTTTGATATTAAATATTCATATTAATATACCAAAAAGTTAAGATATAGACCATCTTCCCCCCCCAACTCCTTTCTTAGTAGGCTTAATCAGATGTTTTTAACCATATTTCCTTATGGTTCCCATTAGAAGAGTTCAAACTAATAAACAAAACAAATGTTTATTGATGAAGTTTTCAAGTTAGCCCCCTTCTAATTCATTGTCCTACACATGTACATTGTTTTTTAATTGCTTTTCTCTAGGGCCACCTTCAGCTCCTAGGAATGTGGCTTTTAACATCAATGAAACGGCCCTTATTTTGGAATGGAGCCCACCAAGTGACACAGGAGGGAGAAAAGATCTCACATACAGTGTAATCTGTAAGAAATGTGGCTTAGACACCAGCCAGTGTGAGGACTGTGGTGGAGGACTCCGCTTCATCCCAAGACATTCTGGCCTGATCAACAATTCTGTGATAGTACTTGACTTTGTGTCTCACGTGAATTACACCTTTGAAATAGAAGCCATGAATGGAGTTTCTGAGTTGAGTTTTTCTCCCAAGCCATTCACAGCTATTACAGTGACCACGGATCAAGATGGTAAGTTCCACTGCTGTTTTCTCTAAACAAACTCGTAACTCCCTTCAGATGCATAATATCCCTGGTGGACTTATATTCTCTGAGGTGCAGTTGTATACTCTATACACTAAAGAGGTGATCTTCTGGTTGTTTTTCTTACTATTTTCTAAGGTCCAGAAAGATATTTTTTATATTACTTCTTTTTAGTAAGGTTAATTAGATATAATGCTTCTCTCCAATGTTTATGCATTGCTTTTGATATAATCCTATACAAGTACATCTTAATGAGCAAGTCCATATCACTTTCCAACAAACGTCAGATATAAAAAAAAAAGTTGCTAAGTGAATTGAAATTTAGTTACTCCGCTTATGCTGCCATTTATTTTCCATATCAAATAAAACAAATAGTAAGAATTCATGTTAATTATAATTCATATCTATGTTGTAAAAACATTGCAGCCAACATGCTTAACTGTGATCCACTCTGAAAAGAAATGGCAAAATATATCCAGAAATGTATCCAAATGTTGTTGTTAGGCACCATTTGTAAAAAGTTGTTGAACGGTCTTTTTAAAAAATCCAGTTGCTTTCAGTTAAATGTTCCCTTCGTAACAGTGTAGATTTTTACTGCAACATAGTTAGGCATGAATACCCCTATCATTTTTATAAGTATATATTCTCTTTAACTCCCTCATTAACATGATTTACTGCAGTACATGATACAGGAAAATCACCAGAGATTTTAAAAACTCCCATTGAGAAGCATTCATAAATTATGTGGACACACAAATGATTGTCTCATAGCAGAAAGTATTGTTATATATGAGCACATATATATGAGACAAATTTATAAAGATAAAACTATTCTTATGCTGTAACAAATGCCACAGATTATGTGGTTTAAACAACAGAAATTTATTTTCTCACAGTTCTAGAGGCTAAAATTCAAGAATAAGGTATCAGCAAGGTTGATTTCATTACTCAGCAATAAAAAGGAACAAATTATTGATACACACAACTTGGATGAACTTTAAGGGCTCTAAGCTGAGTGAAAAAGACAATTTCAAAGGGATGCATACTGTGTGATTCACTTATATAACATACTTGAAATGACATTATTATAGACATGAAGAATAGATAAGTGGTGGCCAGAGCTGGGGAATGGGAGAGAGGGATATGACCATGAAGGGCAGGAGAGAGCGTTGTGGTGATAATACAGTTATATATTTTGATTGTTGTGGTAGTTATATGAAGCTATGTATGTGATAACTTGCCTAGAGCTACACACACATACACACCCAAGCCCAGTGGATTTTACTAACATCTATTTTCTGGTTTTGATTTTGTACCGTAGTTATGCACATAGTTAACCCTGGGAAGGCTGAGTAAATGATGTATGGGATCTCACTATATGTATTTTGAGAATCTATAAAAATTGTAAAATTTTAAAAAAGTTGCTAAAACTAAAATGTGTAGATAGAAAGTTTAGTATTTTATTAAGAACATTTTAAATGAATGTGACTTATTTATATTAATACATATAAATTCACTTTGCTGATAATCTTCAGAAATACATCTGATAAAGCAAAGCCAAGTAGTACTGTCCAATCATCTTGTATTTACCATGCAATTTTACCTTCATTTAGCAAATAACTACACATCATAGAATTTGCTTAATGGCTTTTAAAAAGGAATTCCTATTTCCTCTTTTTTTCCTTCGTCCCATAGGTCAACAAAATCTGATCAAATATAACTTCAGAATAAAAGAGATTAGCATCTTCTGTTCCTCTCTACATTAGCAGATTATATCTAAGGGCTTTTCGCTGCCATTGGGTAAAATGTACAACTCAGAACAACCATTCTTAACTATGGGGGATAAAAACAGTGTATCACTTTAAATAAAATATATATGTACATATCTTTACATAATTTCATACATACTGCATTGAGCAGCCTTTCATTCTAGGATTAAAAGAAAGTTCATTTAGTCTACTTTTCCACTTAGCAGAGAAGAGAATATAAATTGTTTCTCACTTTTAAAATGAGAGAATTCATTAAAACTGTATTGCTTTGAAGACAGGTTAGTTAGGCACAAAATAAAATATAGTATCCATATATTGAGACTATACATTCTGGAAGGATAATATTATTAAGCAGTCCTCCCCAGTAAATTTCACTTTGCTGAAGTATATTAAGAAACAATTATTGTTAAATTAACTGTGTTTTAGATAAAAATAGTTAGAAAAATCTAAATATATTTAAATTGTATTTGAAAGGTACATAATGGGCCTAACTGAGCTAAAATATTGCCACAAAAATTAATAAAATATTATGACCAGCAGGAACTACACAAGGATGTCCACTCTTACCACTTTTATTCAATATATTGCTGGAAAATCTAGACACAGCAATCAGACAACAAAAATAAATAAAAGGCATCCAAATCAGTAAGGAAGAAGTAAAACTATTTGCAGTTGACATGATACTCTACATAGAAAACCTTAAAGATTCCACCAAAAATCTACTAGAACTGATAAACAAATTCAGTAAAGTTGTAGGATACAAAGTCAATATACAGAAATCTGTTGCATATCTATACACCAATAATGAAGCAGCAGAAAGAGAAATCAAGGAATCAAGCCCATTTACAGTTACACCAAAACCATAAGATAACTAGGAATAAATCTAACCAAAGAGATGAAAGACCTGTACTCTGAAAACTATAAAACACTGATGAAAGAAATTGAAGACAACACAAAGAAATGGAAAGACATTCCATGCTCATGGATTGGAAGAACAAATATTATTAAAATGTCTATACTACCCAAAGCAATCTGCACATTTAATGTAATCCCTATCAAAAATCACAAGCATTTTTCACAGAACTATAATAAACAATCCTAAAATTTGTATGGCACCACAAAAGACCCCAAATAGCAAAAGTAATCTTGAAAAAGAAAAGCAAAGCTGGAGGCATCACAATTCTGGACTTCCAACTTATATTACAAAGCTGTAGTGATCAAGATAGTATGGTATTGACACAAAAACAGACATAGATCAATAGAACAGAATAGAAAACCCAGAAATGAACCCACAACTATATAGTCAATTGATTTTCAACAAACAAGAAAGAATATCCAGTGGGAAAAAGACAATCTCTTCAACAAATGATGTTGGGAAAACTGGAGAGCAACATGCAAAAGAAGGAAACTGGACTACTTTCTTACACCGTACACAAAAATAAACTCAATGAATTAAAGATTAAATGTGAGACCTGAAACCATAAAAATTCTAGAAGAGAACATAGGCAGTAACCTCTTTCACATCAGCCATAGCAACTTTTTTCTAGCTATGTCTCCTGAGGCAAGGGAAACAAAAACAAAAATAAACTTCTGCACAGCAAAGAAAATAATCAACAAATCTAAAAGGCATCCTAAGGAATGGGAAAAGATATTTGCAAATGATATATACAATAAAGGGTGAGGATCCAAAATATATAAAAAACTTATAAAACTCTAACACCCCTAAAACAAAAATCCAGTTAAAATGGGCAGAAAACATGAACAGCCATTTCTCCAAAGACATCCAGATGGCCAACAGATACATGAAAAGATGCTCATCATCACTTACCATCAGGGAAATGCAAATCAAAACTATGATGAGATATCACCTCACACCTGTCAGAATGGCTAAAATCAACAACACAAAAACCAACGAGTATTGGTGAGGATGTGGAGAAAAAAGAACCCCTCTTGCACTGTTGGTGGGAATGCAAACCGGTGCAGCTGCTCTGGAAAACAGTATGGAGGTTCCTTAAAAAGTTAAAAATAGAGCTACCCTGCAATCCCGCAATGGCACTACTGGGTATTTACCCAAAGAATACAAAACACTGATTCAAAGGGATACATGCATCCCTGTGATTATAACAGCATTATTTAATTGCCAAATTATGGAAGCAGCCCAAATGTCCATATATGATGAATGGATAAAGACGGTGTGGTATAAATACAAGGGAATATGATTCAGCCATAGAGAAGAATGAAATTGTGCCATTTGCAATGACATGGATGGAGCTAGACAATATAATGCTAAGCAAAATGAGTCATCAGAAAAAGACAAATGCCATATGATTTCACTCATATGTGGAATTAAAAACAAAAAACAAATGAGCAAAGGGGAAAAAAAAGAGAGTGAAACAAACCAAGAAACAGACTCTTAACTATAGAGAACAAACTGATGATTATCACAGGGGAGGGATATGGGGGAATGGGTTAAATAGGTGATGTTGGTTAAGGAGTGCAATTTTTGTGGTGAGCATGAGGTGATGTATGGATTTGTTGAATCAGTACATTGTACACTTGAAACTAATATAACACTGTATGTTAACTAACTAGAATTCAAGTAAAAACTTAAAAAAACAACAAAAATAGTTCTGTATACAAGATGGCAGTGAGCCACTGAATATTAAAATACATTTACCTGGCCCTAACAAAAAAAGTATTATGATCAGCCTTATAAGTATGAGTGACTATCCCCATGTCACAATTTTAAGAAACACGAAGAAGGCCTTGTCTCACTATGCTGAAATTCTGACATTAGAATACCATGTCTTTAAAAATGCATATACTGGGCGCCTGGGTGGCTCAGTTGGTTAAGCGACTGCCTTCGGCTCAGGTCATGATCCTGGAGTCCGGGATCGAGTCCCGCATCGGGCTCCCTGCTCAGCGGGGAGTCTGCTTCTCCCTCTGACCCAACCTCCTCTCGTGCTCTCTCTCTCTCTCTCTCATTCTCTCTCTCAAATAAATAAAATCTTTAAAAATAAATAAAATAAATAAATTAAAATGCATATGCTGGGGTGCCTGAGTGACTCAGTCAGTTAAGCATCTGCCTTCAGCTCAGGTCATGATCCCAGGATCCTGGGATTGAGCCCCACGTCAGGCTCCCTGCTCAGCGGGAAGCCTGCTTCTTCCTCTCCCACTCTCCCTGCTTGTGTTCTCTCTCTCTCTGTGTCTCTCTCTGAT